GGGGGGGGGGTAGTTTGGCCGGGGGGATAGTCCGGGGATGGCGAAGACGGGATTTTCTTATTTTCTTCGTCGAGGCGAATGTGGTGGAAGGCTTGGCTAGCGTCGATCTTCGATACGTAGACCGCGCCGTGGGCACAGACTAATAAGTCTTCTACACTTTGCATTGGGAGGGCGAGGTGTTTTGTAACGGCATTGAGGGGCCGATAATCGACGCATAACCGATAGCTATTGTCGGGTTTTTTTGACCAAAACAGGTCAACAACACCAATCACTTTGTAAGGATTCGATGATATCTTCTTTTTGATATCGTATTTTTTTGGCCGTAATTAGTAATTCCGTAAAACCAAATTATCTCCTTAAAATCTAGGGAATTCTAGGCGAAAAAATTCACTTGATCTTGAGAAGGCCGGGCCTTAAAGCGATATGTCGGCAATTAGGTCTCAGAGGGGAAAAATAATCAGGGGAGTTCAATTATGCACAAATTTAGCGCCCTTTTTTCCCATACACATTGCAGTATATATTGCACATCATTTGGCAGGATGGCGCACAAATTACACTCACGGAATAAACACAATTCAAGAGTTCCAGGTACACAGGACACACTCAAGACCTAATTACCGACGTATAAAAAACACTCTGACCTTTCGTTTGGGTCAAATACCGGAATTTTACATCACCTTGATCACACGTAATTAGTAATTCCGTAGGTGAGGTGATGACCTGTCAATTTCAGGAAATTTTCATTCTTCTGAATTCTGGTAGATGGCGCTACCATCAGCTCGCGAACACGCCGGAATGAGCTTCAGAGGCGGACGTTGAAAAATGGGGCCCCTGGTGCTGCCAATGGAGTATTGCGCATGAGTGGGAGTGTCTCACTAGCTGTCTCACTCCCTCTCGTTCTCAAACGGTCTCTGATGTCTTATATATGCATTTATTTATTTCCCCCGACAATTATTTCCCTCTGAGACCTAATTGCCGACGTGTCGCCGGTTATGACCTTTCTTCCGATACAAAAAGCATAATTTTTCATGCTGTTTTTTGGCCGTAATTAGTAATTCCGTGAAACCCAATTACTTTATTCAAATCTAGGGAATTCTGGGGATTCTGGGGTAAAAAATCGCCACAATTCTTACATAAGTGGGAGTGAGATATTCCTTACCTGAGCTATCTCACTCTCACTTATTTACAATTCATGGCAACTATTTCCCCCACCAAAATTTCCTAGATTTTGATAAAAATAATTGGGTTTCACGGGAATACTAATTACAGTGAAAATACTACATCAAAAGATCCGATTTTGGGATCAAATGAAAGATTATAACTTCTGCCATGTCGGTAATTAGGTCTCAGATTGTAATAGAAGTTGGGGGAGTTCAATTACGCAGAAATTGAACACCCTTTTTTCCTACGGTACATTGCAATATACAGATATATATATATATATATCTCTAATGTATATTTTGAAACCATTTTTGATACTATAATGTATTGTTTGAGGACATTTGGCTGTTCTGGGGACAGGTCTCATAATTTTTTATACTAATTGTCACTTTTGGGGACTGACCTCAAAGGTGACCCCATGGATTTCGTGTAAACTTTGAGGACTGCTGTTGTAAACGAGGACATGTCTTCAAAATAATATTCATCAATGCGTATACCTCGAGAACCCATTGTTTGATGAGGGACGTGGATGTTGGGTGGTCGTGCGTCGGAAAATGAAAGTATGGGTTGTGAATAAAGTTAAATGTCGTTGAAAGCGGAATTATAAAACACTTCGCGTTTAATAGTCACTTGTCGAAAATATACAAATATTCACAGGTGTTCGTTGAGTAATTAACTGTTGATTAACGGTTTTTAACGAATTAAACAATACTTAGAATCGTTGAATTAATAAATAAATAAATCGTTGAATTGACGAGTGTGCGGTGTGTGTGTATCGTTGATGTACCATAAGGCTACAATTCTAGATTAATCCGCTATTTTCGTTGGATTTAATAAATAGGTTGCAATCGATAATTAACAAATGATGCGTTGATGAATTCAATAATGAACGTAATTAATTGATATTAATTCGTTGAGAAGCACGCGTTAATTTAAGACGTCGGTTGAGTGTTATACGTTGAGTTTAAATACGTTGGTTTAATCGTTGGGTAAGTTACGCGTTGATGTACGAAGAGAAAACAAACTTATTCAGGTGATGGTCGCAATGAAACTGATTTTTGGGGGGATTCAAGATCATTGTCTTGACCGTTGCCCTCTAACTCGACAATCCGGAAACGTCCGAAAATTATCCAGGGTAATTCGTCGATATGTGCATGATTGTTGAAGCTCAACTTTAAACACCCATTTTTTGTAATTTTTTTTCGCCTTTAAAGGATGATTTCCAAGAATTGATCGAAATAACAATTACGAGGTCCATAATTTGTTGGAACTATTAGAAATACTATGCGCATAAAAATTTAATTAATTATCCAATCATTTAAATTTCCACTATTCCGATCCCATGGTCCATTTTGAGAATTGGGGTTCCCGTATATACCTGCGCATTCATGACCTTCCACAGACGATGAAGTAGTCCTGAAGAAATTGAAAGTAATCCTGGAGGGACAGACTGCTAAGACTGATAAAATCTGGGTACGGGGAGATCAAATTGAGAGAAATTACGTAAAACTGTCAAGGGAGATTGCGAAAAATACAGGTAAATTCAAAAAAGCCTTTCCTATCACTTTTTTTCGGTTTTCGAATTTTCATCTGGAATTGTTTTTGATGTTGTTGACTTTATCAACTACTTATTATTATTTGATTTTTAGAAAGTACTGTATTGTATGGAGATAAACTATTTTTATCTGAACAATGGAACAGTCCATGCCTAAGTGAATTTCTCTCATCTCTGCAAGATGCTGAATTTTTCAATAAGTCTTCTCGATTCGTAACATTCATCACCGTGAATAAATTGGACATTAAAGATGCCAATCAGCGAGAGTCAAAGAAGAGGAAAAAATCACGACGAAGCAGTGATGATTCTGAACAAATCCCCAAGCGCCCAAAACACGAGGAAGGAACTGTTAATACGGATTCAGAGGATTCAGAGCCTCCGCCGACCTACAGTGATAATCGCAGAAATCCTGAACGAGACAGAAACTCATATCCTAATGTCGAGGTGTCAGACGCTGGAGAGCCACCGTTTGTCATACTTCCCGCCCTAAATTCCCATGATCGCATAGGAACTAATAAACAAAAAAAGTGTCGTAGGAGGCTGAATTCCAATCGGCCAATAATATCTGAATTTGAGGAAGTCAGGAATATTGAAAAAACTGGAGAAGCATCAGGCTCTAATGCTACTGTTGAGGTAATTCAATCGATCCCAGAGGTATTAGAGACTGAGAGAGCGCCGGCCGCGCTAATTCTACTTCCAAATTCTCGTGACGATCTCAATATAGAGAAGCAACTGGAAAGTTGTGGAAAACAGTCTATTCCTGAGCAGTCAGTAATTCATGGGCACAGAACAGCAAGCAATGTGGAAAAAACTGAGGGAGAATGAGGCTCGGGATTGACGGTTGAGAGGATGCAGCCGATACCAGAGGTATCGACGACTCAGGGAGGGTCAGCCATGCAGATTCCACTTCTTAATTCCTGTGGGAATCCCAGCCAGGAAAAAAAACGAAAAATCTATAGAACAAGATTCATGTTTGAGGAGCCAACAGGTCCTGGACCAGGAACAGTGAACAATCTTGTAAATACTGAAGAAGAATCAGGTTCTGGTGTAAAGATTGAGGGAATACAAACAATACTAGAGATATCAGAGACTGAGGATGCATCAACCACAATGATTCCACCACCAAATTCCCGCGGCGAAGTCAGTGAGGAGAAGCAACTGGAAAGCTCTGGAAAACAGTTCTCTCCTGATCAGCCAGTAATTCCTGGACACGAAACAGCGAGTAATAGCGGAAAAACTCCGGGAGAATCCGGCTCTGATGTGACAGTTGAGGGGATTCCAAAAATACCAGACGTCTCAAAGATTCAGAGACAGTCAGCCATACAGATTCCGCTCCTCAATTCCTGTGAGGTTCTCGGCAAGGATGAAAGACCACAGAGCTGTAGAAGAAGGTTAAAGTTCGAGGAGCCAGAAATTCTTGGAAACGGGACAGTGAACAATCTGTTGACTGTTGAGGTACTGCAACCAATACCAGAGGCACCAGAGACTCAGGGAGCGTCAGCTATGCTAATTCCACTTTTAAATTTCCTTGAGGTCCTCCATGAAGAAAGACAACTAAAAATCTGTGAAAAACAGTCCATCCCCGAGAAGCCAGTGATTCTTGGGCACGAAGAACCGAACAATACCGGAAACACTGACGGAGAATCAGGGCTGAGTATTGCAATTACAATGAAAATGAGAGTGCGAGTCCAGAACGCAGCAGTTCTCTAAAACCTAAAGGGCTACATACATTCATCAAAGGAGTAACTGCGAAATTTCGTGAGCAAAACGTACCTGTTACTGAGCCCTTGATTAAAGATATGGTGAATGTCTATCACAACGACTTAGCTACCACTAAATTAGACTACGATATTGGGAAACAAAAAAGCTGGTTCATAAAAATGAGGAGAATGTGAAAAAATTCACGCACTTACCAGCAGGGAACCCAGAAAGACAGCAAGTTATTGCTACCATCAGGAAAAAGGGTGACTTTTTGTTCAATTCAGACAGGCAGCTCAACAATGGTTCAGTGATTGTTTGCAGCCGACTAAACATCAGAATGAACAAAACTGCTGAAGATTTCCAAGTCTGTGGTAAGTGTAAGGACCACTACGCAAGATCTGTCATACGTCATCATTGCCGTAAGTGTTTTGACCACGATGGAAAGAATCAAAGGGTTCTGATGGTGCAAGGAAGAAAAATCGCTGCTGGTGTGCACCCAATTGCTAGCAAAGATGTTCGAAATAAATTATATCCATACATGAACGAAGATGCAGTCGTAAAAGAAATTCGATATGATGAATTAGTAATGGTTTATGCTAATCAAATGGCCGAGAAATACGGAACACAAGGCCAAAGTTATAAACAAGTTCGGGCCAATTTACGTCTTTGCGGTAGGTTCCTGATAGCGATTAAACAAATCGATAACAGGATCAAGGACTTCAGTGATCTTTTTCAACCCGAGTTTTATGATGCGGTCATGCGTGTTGTTCGAGTAGTTACGAAGTACGACGAGGACACAAAACTTTATGGAGCTCCAGCAGTAGCCTTCGGATACGGAACACTGCTGAAGAAACTCGCCGAGCTCTTACGCAATGAGTACATTAAGAAAAAAATGTCAGGTAAGAGAGAGGAAGTCGATAACTTCATCAAATTACTTGAAGTAGACTATGGCATCAGCATCAACCGCGGAGTGGCTGAGACTCAAGCCCAAAATAATCGACGTAAGGAAGTTGTCCTTCCCCCTACTGAAGATATTAAGAAGCTGCATGCTTTCATTAAAACGGAGCGAGACAAATATTATGAGAAACTAACAGAGAAAATTCCGTATGTCAGCTGGGAAAACCTCGCCAAGAGAACACTCCTATCATTTCAAATTTTCAACCACCGTCGACCGGGAGAAATTGAGCGCCTCTTCATCGAGGATTTTCACAGTCACCTAGGTCTGGATCATGGTTCGAACCAGGAAGCCTACGACGGCTTGAGCGAGGAGGGAAAGAAGTTGTCCAGAAAACACTCCAGGTTTGAGATCCGTGGTAAACTCGGCCGAGGTGTCCCAGTTCTGGTTGACAAGGACTGCTGGACTGTTTCAACCTCCTGATTAACCACACGGAAAATGCAGGTGTCCCTGAAAAAAATACATATTAATTTGGATTGTCCTCAGCTGATAAAAATCACAATTGTCATTTCAGTGCATGTGATTTAATGCGAGAGTACTCGCTTAAATGTGGAGCCGACGCCCCAGAAACTCTACGTGGTACAACACTCAGGAAGCACATTGCAACGAAGTGCATTGCATTAAATGTGACAGATGGTCAAGTAACTGATCTCGCGAATTTCACGGGTCATGCCGAAAGAATCCATAAGGATATTTATCGAAAGCCGGTCTTGGAAACTGACATCATCTGAATCTCTAAGATTTTAAATACAGGCCAGGGTCTGACTCCATTTGAGGATGAGTCAGATGACAGTAGTGTTAAAGAGCACAGCATTCCTCGTAGAAAATCCAACAGAGCTAGAGATAACACTGGAAATGGCCCCAGCATGAGTAGTTCAACCACGTCGAATACTTCAACCGGGAAACAGCTCTGGTCCGATCAAGAAAGGAAGACTACGCTAGCAGCCTTCGGGGAAGAGTTAAAACTGGGGAGGGTCCCATCTGGGAGAGAGATGCAGGAGTTCATTGATAAAAATTCATGTATGAGAGCACGCACTGTTCCTCAACTCAGAATTTGGCTATGGACTTAGAAGAATAAGGTGACCAATCATTAATACCCATGGAGTATCAAGAATTTAAGCTCTTATTTTTCCTTTTTTTGACATTTTTGCAATTTTTTTTATAGGTTCATTACTGCAAAAATTAACACTTTTATTCTATGTTTGCCTAACGGTTTTTGTATGTTTATGATGAAAAAGGGCCACATTTCTATTTTACATTCATGATAAAGAATAAATTGAAATTTCCAGTAACTTGCTTCTTTTATTCCCTAACTTTTTCTAGTTATTTTAAATTTCTTGTACAAAAATTGGATCAATTATAAACGGCATTAGGAGGGCCTTCTCGTAATGGTAAGTTCAGGGACACGAAGAATTGCATAATGGACATTACGGGGTCATCTGAGATTCTTGAGTATTCTATGAGGACGTTCATATAATGATCACTATAAGGACCGATGGATTATACTTTCCTTAATTCCTCATTTTCACTGATGGACTTAATCATTCTTCTCCTGTAGTGTGCACTCATTCTTGAAACTAAATTTTTGTCAAAAGTGGAAAGAATCCAACTCCGATCTTGGGGGGATTTCTTTCTAGGTCACTCCAAAAACAAATTTGTAAGACGCATAATATGGAACAGTTAGATAGGAATTGTTCCGAAAAAGATGGACAGTGCCATCACTACACATGGTGAAACTGTGAAAAATCAAATGAGTTAGTAGGGGCCTAAATTGACACTCTTTTACATGGCTTCGTTTGGTTGCCTACGTTTTCCTGTGTATTTCACATTTACTATTCAAATAATTGGATCCGCTATCGAGTGCATTATGGGGACATTCACGTGATGGTCATTTCAGGGACACAAAAAATTCTCTAATGGATAGTAAGAAGTCATCTGGGCATCCCAAGTATTCTATGAGGACGTTCATATAATGATCACTATGAGGACGGGTGACTAGTATTTTCCTCAATTCCTCATTGTCACTGATAGACTGAATCATTCTTCTTCTTCACTTTTCACCAATCCTTGAAACAGAATACTTATCAAGAGTCAAAATCATCCCACTCCCATCTTAGAGGGATTTCTTTCTGTCGAGGTCAATCCAAAATCAAATTTGTATGACTGTCAATATGGAAGTTAGATCACAATTATTCCAGAAAAGAAGCAAAGTGCCATCACTACACATTGTGAAACCGTAAAGAATCAAATGAGTTGATAGGCGGTTAAATTTGCACTCTTTTACCTGGCCTTATTTGACTTTCCACCTTTTCCTATTTATTTCCAATTTTGTATTTGAAAAATTGGATCAGTTATCGAGGGCATTATGGGGACATTTACATGATGGTCATTTCAGGGATAGAAGAAATACTATAATGCATATTAGGAGGTAATCTGTGAATCCCAAGTACTCTATGGGGACGTTCATATAATTATCACTATGAAGACCGATGGATAATATTTTCCGTAATTCCTCATTTTTACTGATGGACTTAGTCATTCTTTTTCTCCCCTGACCACTTATTCTTCAAACTAAATTTTTATCGAGAGTCGAAAGAATCTCACTCTTATCTTAGCGGGACTTATTTCTGTCACATTAGTATAACTGTGTGTAGGAAAAGTGCATGTATGAAAATGGAGGGCTGAAGCTGGGATGAGTGCGGCAAGGTTAAATAGAAAATTGATGGTGCAATGTGGGCATGGAAAAAAATGAAGGGTTGAGGCTGCAATGAGTATGGCAGTGTTAAATAGAAGATTGATAGTGGAATGTGGGCAAGGAAGAAACTGAAGGGTTGAGGCTGGGATGAGCGCGGCAAGGTAAAATAGGGGGGTGGTGATGGAATGACTGGAAGGAAAAAAATGACGGGCTGAGGGTGGGATGAGTGCGGCAGGGTAAAATAGGGGGTTGGTGGTGGAATGAGTGCATGTGGAAAAATTAAGGGTTGAGGCTGGGATGAGTGTGGCAGGGTTAAATAGGGGGTCGGTGACGGAATGAGTGCAAAGAAAAAAATGAAGGGTTGAGGCTGGGATGAGTGCAGCAGAGTAAAATAGGGGGTTCATGGCGGGAGGAGGGGTATTATCGCATGCTAAACCCTCATTTCAGCATCAACCCCGTATTTTACCCTGCCACACTCATCCCACTCTCAATCCTTTTTTTTCCAACGGATTCATCCGATATCTAAACTCCCATGTCACCCTCGCATCCATGCCCCCCTCCCTCCTTTACCGCAATGCGCCTATTTGTTTAAAAACATGAATCAAAATGGATTTCTCATTCCCACTACTATTTTATTCCACCCCCTATAAATTCAAATGAAAAATCCGTAATTGTTCCAATTTTTTTCGAAGGGGGCCAGAAAATTTGGCACCGTGACTTCGGAGCTCCAGGCGGACCTGGAAAAGTATGTCATTTTGTCACTTTTCCTTTTACCGACCGTGTCGTTTCGATATAGAGCTTGGAAGTCTGCCGCAAACCATGGGGGGATAAAAGTCACCCAAAAATTCTGGAAACGAGAAGGCTGGGCCTTAAAGACTATTTTTTTGTCGCATAATATATTGTGCACCAAGGAAAGAAAACATCGCATTCTCACACACGCGTCTATTAACGACCAGATGCGAAGCGGATGATGGTAAACACGTGGGTTTGAATATCCTGTTTCTCTTTCTCGGTGCACATTGTTCTTTCCGTCATCACTGAAAAGTTCGATTTTTCTTCGTAAATAGCGGGATGAATGTGGCTTATGTCATCCCAAAGATCATTAAGCACAACAGAGATCTGAAAGATAGACTAGGCCATTTTCTTCCCGTCATTTGGGGAGTAAAATCGAAGATTGGAAACCGTCCGGCACGTCTCAAAAACGAAGTTTCAAATTCGATTGAGTCAAATCATTATCTGTTACAATCAAAATTTAGTGGATGATGACGTTGTCACACCC